TCTGTCACTAATTTTTTGATAATCACCCTCATCCTTTTGACTAGAGTGATTCAATTAAGTTTTTGATCTCAACCACCTCTCCAGGCCCCATTATGAAACAGATGCTCATATGAAGGCAGAATATTTTATGTTAGAGAATTACACAAAGTAGAGATTTGTAGGAATACAGCAAATTGCTTTTTATGATAATGGAACCCATTGGTTGGTATATAAAGTGCCAAGAACAATCCCATATTAACAAACACAGATTCAACCCATACTAGAATGCACAGTATGTCTTGGTAGAATTAGCAGTGAGGAATGAAGGTCTTGTACCACGAGTTACAGTTCCCTCCCTGGTGGCAGACTGAGAGTGTGGATGTAAAGAGGACGGCATCATGCAGGTATGGACAATCAGGAACAGAGAACACAACACACAACTATTAAATCTTTACTAATTGGTTTCTTAGGCTGATATATATTTTTCAAAAGCAGGAATTCTCTCAGAAACTATGCTGAGTATTTAATCAGCGTATTAAGAAATTATTACGGTATTTTGTCATGTCTTTAGAGGCACCAAGGAAAACCGAATAAACATTTCAGGTAATAAGCCAAAAAATTAAAATTTGGAATAAGAAGGGAACAAAGCTCAGGGGTTACAACTATGTCGACTCTAAAATGCACATTTCATTCCTCTTTATTGGGGGGGGCTATTTGGAGACGGTATTTCACTATGTAATCCTGCCGTGCCTGAAGCTCACCGCCCGTAGATGGTAAGACTGTCCCCATGCCCAGCCCTGCCTCTGTAAGTCAGAAGTCATAGAAGTGGATATATTTAAATTCTTGAGTGATAGCGAGTGAAAACAAAGAGTAATATACCCCCTCCCCACCAGGAGAGGAGACTTCTGTCGACAGGAGAACAGTTTCCAGCTTCAGCCTTTGATGCTTAACTTAACCTGCTGGTCAGTCCTAACCTCTGCTCTGAAGTACAAGGCTTCCCCAAGGGCAAGTGATGCTCCAAGGTCAGCTCTTATAAGTCCCAGTAACATACCTGACCAAGGTAGAAAGACCTTCCATCAAAGAGGTAAGTTAGGTTAATTATATGTACATTTCCAATCCTCACCCAAAGTCAAAAGTCGGAGGTAACACTGAGATTCTCAGGCTCTAGTTCACCATTCGTTCAAATTAGTATGGAAACATCTTTCTTCAATATCCATATGTACTATATGATTATGTAATGTTTAGAACCACATATGCAAAATTACCGTATTTGCTAATGGTTTCATTTTATTAAATAAAAAGTTCTGAGGTAAGCCTACAGTTTTATTAAGACATCAATTCTGAATTCCTTAACAAATCTCTTAATATGAATTTTGTGCAAAGAAAAAGGAAGAATATATAGCTTTTTCATTTACATAATTTTTTCCTAGTAGAAACCTGGGCACTACAAAGGTAGACAAAAACAAGCAAAATCACAAGCACAAAAGAAAACCACCAGAGTTGCACTGTTTCACTATGAGGCAGGAACTATCTTAGTTTACATGAAAACTGAAAGCATATAGGAGTTTCATAACGTATTTTAAACACCCTCAGTAAGGTCTTATTTGTTGTTTTGTAGTTTTAATATTTCGGTAGTTGGTCCGATTTGCCAAACTTTGCTTCAACAAAAGAGAAAACTGCTTAGGGAATGAAAACGGAAACAGACTTCAGCAAGTCAGTATGTTTTGCTACATCTAGTCAGGGTTTTCCCTGTAAAGTACATGCTTCTCAGTATGCAGACTGTGTAAGCCCTGTAAGTAACAATTACTACATTAAACAATGCAATCTGCCCCACTGGCAGAAGGGCACCATGCTATGGATGAGGCAATGACGAGACCAGCTTCCAGCCCCGAGGACGGCAAATATGGACACATTCCAGGCAGGCCACAGCCAGAGACCTCAGGTGTACACAAGGGGAGCAGCTGCTCAGCTCAAGATGATGCCTTGCAAACCAACAGAAGGAGATGGCCCAGCGTCATTTCCAAAGATAACAGGTGTACTTCAAACATAACAGAAATGCTTTGAAAATGTTCTGGCCAGAGACAGTTGTTAATCGGTAAAAGAAGAAAACTATGCCAGACCTATAGAAACCCCACTTTGTAACTCATTCGTGAATGAGACCCTTTTCCACTTAATTCAGTTTATGCAGAAAATATAATGTTTGATGTTTGAGAAAAAGTGCTGTCCAGTTCTCTTTATCTTCATGTCCAATTATGGTATATTTCCAACATAGAAAGGAAAATCTATCCACACAGGAACAAGTCTCCTGGATAATAGATGCTTTTCCATCTTCAGTCATTCTTCGTGAACAATGGCTATGTTACAGATAGAGCAAAATTCCCATGCTTCCTTCTTTCCTTCAAAGATAACTTTTCCAGAAGTTGGGGAGTATTGTGCCCATCAATTTTAATTTTTACTCTACCTACATGTGCACACATCCTCATAGTACAAATATATGCATAATTTACTTCCTTTAAATATCAACTTTCAGAATATATATATATATATATATCAGTGGCCTCTGCGCAGAGGCCACTGATTAGTGAAAACCCAAGGCTAGCTTGGAAAAGCATTCAATCGCCAATCCAAATTAAAACATGTTGTAACATACCAGTTTGCACTTCCAATTTTGGATCAGTTTTTAAATATTACTTATTGAACACTGCAGGGTATGTCACCAAGAAAATGAATAGAGTTGTGACATTTGTGCTAATAACCTACTGTTAAAGTACAGACAGCACAGATAAGGCAAATAGCAACCAAGCACTCCATTCATACCCACTGACTGAAACATACTTTGCCTTCCACTGTAACCTTTTTGTAAAGTATGCTTTGGCATCACTTTACATAGTGGATGAAGTTTATATTAGCTAGCAATTGTTAAATTGATGTGAAAAATATTTTACTATTCAACTTTGCCTAAAAGTCAGTTTAAAACCATTAAAAAATAAAGTGGGTGTTCTAATTTTTCCAAAGACACTATTAAAAGCACAGCATGAGAAATATATTTCAGAGAAGCAGGCGGATCTATCTCTGTGAGATTGAGGCCAGCCTGGTCTACACAGCAAGTTCAGGCCAGCTGGGGCTACAGGGAGACCCTTTCTGAAATAACAACAAAAGAAATATATTTCATCGAATGTTTATTTTTTATAGGAAAATCCTAATCAAAACTGTGAGCCTCTGCTTCCATTTGTCTGTCACATAAACATTAGAATTAAATAGTCACTAGCAGACTGAAAGATTACCAATCAATAATAAACAAAACTGCACTCTAATCTGATGTGAATTCATGACTAGAAAGACTTGACATCATTAACATATTATGCCTACAGCTCCCCAGAAACTCTGACCTCTGAAAAGTTACACACTGACGTTTCTCAAAATGAAATGGCATTTCTATTGTACCTTGGGAGGTGATGATGGAAGGGAGGAGCTAAAGTTCAGACCATCGCTACAAGCACTTCCATGATGAGATAAAATGGATGCTTGGGTGGAGTAGACACTGTCATTATCAGGAGAGTACTGAGACTCAAATCTTGATTCTTCTACTGATTCAGGATCAGGTGCATCTACCTAGGGATAAAATAAGACCAGCCAATTATTATCCTTATCACACATATCACGCTTACCACTTGAAGCTAAAAGGCAAAGGGGCACGGTCTTTTTGTCTATCCTGTTTTCTGTATCCATCTTCCCACTCTTCAACATGAAAGCTGGGCTAATGCCCACCTACAGCAGAGGGCTGTACTGCCCACCTACAGCAGGGGCCACTGGCATCCGAGACTAAGTCAATCCATTAAAGAGCTAAAGGCAGTGATTAACAAAGAAACTAATCAATTCTATGCCTGAGTACTTCCATAAATGGAAAATATTTACACTTTCCAGTATACATGAACTCAACATTTTACGATAAAATGAAGCATCACTTTTCCTATTCAACAGAAATAAACCATTATTCAAAAAGGCAGCTATGTGATTATCTGTTTGAATGAGTTGTAGAAACCAGCAAGAAAAATCTGTGTGCTAAACTCATACTAACAACAAAGTGGCCTAATTATGAACTGTTTATGGTAAGCTTTATGTAAATAAACTTCCACTAGAAAATTCATAGACAGGTAGAGAGTCCCACCACACCTCAACTCCTACTGCTGTCTTCTCTGGCAGACACAGGAGAATGAAGCAAGCATGTTGAATTTGATACTTTTTGTGTAATTCACTTACACACAACTCAAAATAGGTAGAAACAATCCCATTCTGATATTACCATTAATTTTATGGTTATTCTGATGTTAGAATCTCATAAACTGTTTTAGCCTTTGTGATTTCAGTTGACATACTGAAGGAAATTATAAGCATTTTAACTTTATAGCAGGCCACAGTAGGGTAAAAAGCTGTTAAATATATAGGAATATTTCAAAATGATTCTCTTGAAATATATTTCATAGACCTGATAATACATTTAAATCCATGTTCAAATTCACTATAATGTGAAGGTTACCTATTATGCACAATGATCTTGGTAATAACTGCTTGTATGTGATATCTAGACAGACAGTGCTAGCTGAACGTTATGTCAGATTACAATAAGCAAATATTTCTAAGTAATAGCAAAAAAGAATAAGCCAATAACTTATATACCTATCACTAATGCCTTCAAACCTTAGAGAGCCTAAACCTCCATTAACTCAATTACTGTAGAGATGAAATGAGGAACCAAGGAAACTGAGGGATCATTTCAGGGATACACAGTTCATTAAAAAGACTGAAGAGAGGTGGCTAGAGCGATGGCTCAGCGGTTAAGAACACTGACTGTTTTTGCAGAAGACCTGAGTTCGAATCCCAGCACCCACATGGCAGCTAACAATTGTCCGTAACTCCAGTTCCAGGGGATCCGACAGCCTCTTCTGACCTCCGCGGGCATTGCACAACACAGGTGCACTTACGTACATGCAGGAAATACACACATACACATAAAAAAATAATAAATAATATTTAAAAAAAAGATTGAAGAGATGAGAGCTCAGCAGTTAAGAGTACTGGCTGCTCCCAAAGTTCAGTTCCCAGCACCCACATGGCAGCTAATAGCCATCCTTAACTCCAGTCCCAGGGGATGTGATGCCCTCTTCTAGCCTCTGTGGGCATTGCATGCATTGGGTGCACTTATCTACATGAGGGCAAAACATCATAAACATAAAAAGTAAAAAAAAAGAATAAATAATTTATAAAAGGACAACTGAGGACACTTTGGGCTATTACAAATTACTAAGATTTTATAAAGGTGAACTAAGGTTTTTAATTGGCATAGATTTAAGCAGGCTGAAGGAATATTGTTTCTTGGTGGACTTTAAAGACAATGACACTTTCATGTCCTGTAATTTTTCAAAATGAAGTTGCTATCACTAGATATTGTATAACACCACAGAAAGCCCCCAAATTCCTAACATACTAATTATAATGCCCTTGGAGAAAAGAGTAAAAAATTACTTCAAAAATCAAAATGTCCTTGGGCCTGTTAGCAACATACTCTGTTCCAAGGCCAAAAATGTCAGGAGTATTTGGGAGCTTGTATCTAATCCTTAAAAGATTTTAGGGTTACCTCTTCAGAGGGGGCAATGTTGGAAGGGAGGAGTGGGCATGGATTTGATCAGAACACCTTATATGCATGTATGAAATTCTCAATGAAGTTTTTGTAAAAATTAAAAAAAAAGAACAAAACAATTACCTCATATACTAAATCTTTCTAAATAGCTATTTCAAGACCGTAAATTTAAAAATATTAACAAAAGGAATTACCTCCCCCAAATTAGTATTACCGTAATATATAGTATCAAAGACATAATTCACGCTCCAGTTTAAAGCAATGTGTGCAGACTGAGCTTCTAACCACATGGAGCAAGAAACGCAGCAGAGCCCTAGCGTCAGAATATTTTCAAAGACAAAGATACACAAGAATTTGAAAAACAACCCTTGATCAGATGTGGCCACTAACCAGAGCCAAGCTGGCCCTGAAGAGGGCTTTGTCAGGCAGCCCTGGCTCCTTGCAGGACTGCGGTGGGCAGAGAAAGGTATCCTCCTTGGCAGAAACATAACCTTCTTCTGGAGAAAGCTGCAGGTGAAAGGTGAAGTTTATGGGAAATACAGAGAATGAAAAACAGAAAGTAAGAATAGGAGAAAAAAACATGAAGGGAGAAAAACAATGACATTTTCAAATAACAACATGACCTCACAATAGTATGACAAGCATGAAATTGACACATTAATATCAAGCATTTTCTTTGAGAAGACAGAGAGGCTATTTTTCTAGCATAAGCATAGTCTGTTAGATGAGAATCTCTACTATTTTTCTCATTTTTTTTTACAAATGTCTATCAAAATCAACAATTTTTATATAATACTAATCTGGTTATTTTACTCTGCCAAATATCCAGGCCCAATAATGAAAGGCAACTTTTAAGCATTAAGGCTTTTAATGCTGCAGATGAATAAAGCATTAGAAAGAAGAATCGGGCTGGAGGGATGGCTCAGTGTTTAAGAACACTGGTTATTCTTGCAGAAGACCCGGGTTCAAATCCCAGCAACCACATGGCAACTAACAACTGTCCTAACTCCAGTTCCAGGGGTTCTGACAGCCTCTTCTGGCTGCAGGCATTGCACAACACGGGTGCACTTACCTACATGCAGGCAATACACACATACACATAAAATAAAAATAATAAATAAAATACTAAAAAAAGAGAAGAATCAGTTTCTGCTATTTTTCAAGCATCATGCTAAAGAATGTAATTCACCTGACATGGACTGGTGGTAAGTACTACAGGTGAACCCCACTAATCTCTCTAAAGTGAAATGGAGAGCACCTTTGGCTAGATAGCCATTAGAAAATCTTGCATGAAGAATTTAAGATACTAGAAACTAAATTCACAGGAGATACGTAATCATTAATACAACATGGCTTATAGGACCAAATAAACAAAAATGGCACAAGTGTGCAGTCTGTGTAAATGAAACGCCTGAACTACTATAGTGTAATCTTCGTCACACTAGCTGATAAACCTGACACTTTTATTCCAGTCTCTAATAGGAAGGAATAAATATTAAATAACATGTCATTCCGTATCAGTAGTCCATGCAGATTATAGGAAAAGCTTACTTCTTATTTTCCAATAGATATTTTTAATATTTATTAGGCCTCACTTTAAGTAATAGAAATACTCACCATTTGAATTTGAATCATCAAATATTATATTGGAAGAAATTTACTTTGGAACTAGCTAGAAAGAGTCTTTGCTTCTAAATAGCTGATATGTTTTCTCCTTAACAGCAGCAAAGGCATCTACCGGGGCATGTCTGTCATGTCTCTTGTCTAACAGAAAGACCAGAACTAAATCTGTGGTCCAGCTGCAACAACGTAGGCTTCCTTAATGGTCCATCTTCATTCCTATATCCCCCTTGTATAGATATTTTCTTATAAGTTCTAGAACACGGGCCGTACTTTAGGCTAGATCACCTCAATCTTCATTTTTCCCTCCAGGCATCTCTTTATATTTTCATAAATATATTTTTACAGGTTCCTGGAACAAAACTGGTACATGGAATAATTTTAACTGACACTTAAGATACATATTTTTTTTTAAAATATTACTATTTGAAAATTTTCTTTGCTCTAAAGTAACAAATTCTTATTGCTGTTTATACAAATATGTTTAAGTGTTTGCATCTTCTTAAGGAAAAGAATATTTAGTGCCCTTTCATTAAAACTATGCTTATATACTGGAAAAACTCAAACAGAGACAACGTGTCCAACATTTAATTGCAATCCAGGGCAGAGGGCTGCTGCACTCCCTGCACCTGTGAAATGCACAGCTTTGTCTGGCATTTGCATTCCAATACTGTGTGTGGTAGACAACCTGGAAATTGCTCCCTGCAAGCAAACTCACAGACTCATGAACCCATCTTTAAAGCTTAGTTTGCTGCTCTGATAGTAACATAATTCAAGAACTTAGGTCAACCTGTCAGATTTTCTAATTTATTCAACTAAGATTATAGATTCTAGTGTTAATTGTTAATGATCTCCCTGTAGCCCCAGCTGGCCTGGAATTCACTATGTAGACCAGGCTGACTGCTTCTTCCTCCCAAGTGCTGGGATCAAAGGCCTGCACCAACATACCCAGATTGCTATTAATTTTTAGTAGCATTTTAATACTTGAATTTGTAATTCTTAGCAGTATCTGATTCGGGGTACATTATACCCTTATTTTCAAATAAAAGTGGTTCAAAAAAAGCACAAAAGAATAAAGATATACATATATATGTGTGTGTGTATATATATATAGTGTTTGTGCCTGTGGAGGCCAGAAGAAGGAGTCAAAATTAATTCATTGTTCATGCAGTCAAAACCATACTTAGGAAAAGTACCCAGAATGAAAATTCAATTATGAGAACACTGAAACTTAAAAAAAAAAGCCCAACCAGCCATTTTGCTTGCAAATATACAAAGAAATCCACAGAATCCAAATTCTTACAGGCAAAGGCTTGGCCACCCCAATCCTCACGGTGCCCGAGGGCGCTCCCTTCAGAGCTTCCACAGCCTCTTCAAGACTGCTGTTCTCCAAGTTAATGTCATTGACAAACATCAGGCGGTCTCCAGGAAGAAGTCGGCCATCTTTTTCAGCGACGCCACCAGGCACCAAAGAACGGATTACTATCACAGTGCTTGCAGGATCAATGGGGTCCTAAAAGCCAGAAGATGGAAAGAACGGGTTCATCAAAAACAGGTTTTACAAGTTCTCCCTTCTGAACAGTAGTGAAAAGCTAAAAGTTTCAAGTTCGTTAAAAATTTCATACAAGATTTCTAATAACTATTAGGCAAGAGTTATTACTACTTCACTTTAGAGATTAGAGGACCTTATCTGAAACAACAGCATCCTCGTTTGCTGAGGAGATTCCATAAAAATGCTAGATATGGAGCCTTTAAAGATGGCTCAGCAGTTAAGAGCACTGGCTGCTCTTGCAGAGAACTGGGGTTCAAGTCCCAGCACCCACATGGCAGCTAACAACTGTCACTAACTACAGTTCCAGGGGATCTGATGCCCTCTTCTGACCACTGCAGGCATTGCATGACACAGGTGCACTTCTATACATGCAGGCAATACAGTCAAACACATAATTTTTTAAATAAATGGTAGATAACTTCAAGATGGAATTTGAGTTTTGGATAATCTGTCAATTTTTGTAAATTGTCACTTGAGGATGAATGTCAAGGGCATTAATAGTAATAGCATCTGTAAAGCTGGATGTTGTCAGATGTTCACATACTGACATAGGACCTGACTTTTGAAAGGAAGAAATACCAAATGAAGCCTTGCAGCATTTGCCACTCAGTGTTAACAGGCCCTGGAGGCATCTGAGATAGCTTGCTTCAAAACTATTAGGAGCAGCAGCCGTGTTCTTCCAGACCGGGGCTAGCATCTCCTCATTTGCCTAGCAGAAAATATTTCAGCGAAGGGTGCAGGCTGCCTTGGACCAATTTAAAAACAGTGATAAACTTAGTAAAATGACTGGAGTGTTAGATTTTATAATGAATCCAACTAAAAATTCATTGTTCATATTATATAAAAGAAATTTTTTTTAATTTTAGAGTATTTATATTATTCCACTGAGAGGCAATTTTTAACACATTTTTCCAGAAATAACTTGAAGCAGGTTACATAAAAATATACATACAATGAAATTTAAGGGGGTAAAAGGAGGAATAAGCAGTCAAAGACCAAAGGATTTGCCAACATGGGGTCAACTTTGGCGCAATAATGAAGGTTTAGACTAGATCTGTTCGTTTTATTTTTTTAAATCCTAAGTAGTTTTTTGGACCTGTTAACAGAATGTAGGCTAGGGGTTTATTTACAGAAGATTGGATACCCCCCCACACACACAATTACAGCTGCACGGAAAAGTACACACTCAAATATAGATTCTGTGACATCCCAACGGTTGTACAAAATGGCGAGAGGTACACCATGGTGTTCATGACTTATATACTCTTAGGCCCTCCCCCACGTGCAGTTAAGGCCAATTGATTAGGTGGGAGGGGAAAATGACTCCATCTATTATAAGGATTTAGTGCTAGGATCCACAAATGAGGGAGAAAATACATCATTTGTTTTTCTGAGTCTGCGTTACTTAGTATAACAGTTTCTAGATCCATCCATTTACCTGAAAATTTCATTATTTCATCTTCCTTTACAGCTGGGTAGAACTCCATTGTGTAAATATACTACATTTTTGTTAACCATTCATCAGCTGAGAGGGACACTTAGGTTGCTTCCATCTCTTAGCTATTGTGAAAAGAGCAGCAACAAACATGGTTGTACAAATGTCTCTGCAATAGGATGAGTCCTTTGGGTATATGCCAAGGAGTGGTATAACAGGGTCATATATGGTAGGATCATTTTTAGTTTAAGAGGTCTCCACACTGTTTTCCACAGGGATTGCATGAATTTGCAATCCCACCAGCAATGGATGAGCATTCCCCTTTCTCCACATCCTTGCCAGCATTTGGTATCATTTGTTCTCTTGATCCTAGCCAGTCTGACTGGGATAACGTGAAACCTAAAGGTGGTTTTGATTTAATTTCCTTAATTACTAATGATGTTGAACACTTTTTAAGATGTTTCTTAACCACCTTTATTTCTTCCTTTAAGAACTGGTAGATCTTTAGCCAATTTTTAATTGGATAATTTTCTTTCTTGTTTGTTTTTGAGTTCTTTATATATTCTGAATATTAACCCTCTGTCAGATGTGTCAGTGGTGAAGATTTATTTCTCAGTCTGGGTTTATATATTACTTTCTTGATTGTTTCTTCTGCTTTACAGAAGTTTTTAAATTTAATGAAGCTCCACTTGTTGATTGTTGATCTTAATTCCTGAGCAACTGGTATCCAATTTAGAAAGTTCTTTCCTACACCTGTATCTTGTAGGTTACTGCCAATCTCTAATAGTTTCAGAGTTTTGAGTTTCACTTTGAGGTCTATGATCCATTTGGAGTCAACTTTTGTGCAAGGTGGAAGACAAGGATCTAGTTTCATTCTACAGGTAGAGATCCAGTTTTGCCAGCACCATGTGTTGAAGATGCTGTATTTCCTCCACTTTGTGTTCTTGGCACCTTTGTCAAATATCAGGTGGCTAAAATTGTGTGTACTCAGGTTTGGGTCTTCAATGATGTTCCATTGATCTATGTGTCTATTTTTGTGCCAGTACTATGCTGTCTTTATGACTATAGCTCTGTAGTATACTTTGAGATCTGGTAGAGTAATGCCCCAAGCGTTGCTCTTTGTGCTCAGGGTTGCTTTGGCTGTCCAGGGCCTTTTGTGCTTCCATAGAAATTTAAGAAATTTTTTTTTTTCTCTGTGAAGTAAGTCACAGGAATTTTGATTGGGATTACATTGAATCTATATATCACTTTTGGTAGGATGGTCATTTTCACAATATTATTTCTTCCGATCCATGAGCATGGGAGGTCCTTCCATCTCCTGGTGTCATTTCTTTAAAGATTTAAAACTTTCATTGTAGAGATCTTTGATATCTTTGGTCAGGTTAATTCTGAGATTTTTTTTTTTTTTTTTTTTTTGCAGCTATTGTGAATGGGAAGGTTTCCCTGTACCCTTTCTCAAATTGCTTGTTATGGTATAGAAAAGCTACTGATTTATGTGGATTAATTTTGTAACCTACCACTTCACTGAAAGTGTTGATCAGTTCTAGGAAGTTTCTGGTGGAATTTTTGGGATCTCTTGGGTATAGTATCCTATCATCTTCAAAAAGGGATAACTTGACCTCTTCTTTTCCAATTAGTACTCCTTTAATTTCATTCTCCTGTCTTACTGCTCTAGCAAGAGTTTCAAGCACTATATTGAAAAGGAGTGGAGATAGTGGGCATCCTTTTCTGGTTCTTGATTTTAATGGGAATGCTTCCAGTTTTTTGTGTTTTTTTTCCATTTAGAATGATGTTGGCTGTGGGGTTTTTTGTATATAGCTTAAATTATGTTGAATTATACTCCCTCCAGTTCAATTCCCTTTAGAACTTTTATCATGAATGCATGCTGATTTTTGTCAAAAGCCTTTTCTGCATCTATTGAGGTGATGATGTGGTTTTTTTCTTTGAATCCGTTTACATAATTGATGAGTTATTGACATGTGTATATTGAACTATCCCTGCATCTCTGGAACAAAGTCTACTTGTTCATGGTGAATGATCTTTTTGATGTGTGCCTGTATACATTTTGCAAGTATTTTGTTGAGAATTTTTGCATGTGTGTTCATTAAGGATACTGGTCTAAAATTTTCTTTTTCGGTTGTGTCTTTACCTGGTTTTGGTATTAGAGTGATGATGGCTTCATAGAAGAAATTTAGGAATTCGCCCTCTGTTTCTATCTTTTTGAATACTTTAAGAAGTATTGGTTGTAGATTTTCTTTAAATGTCTGGTAAAATTCTGTTGCAATTACATCTGGGAATGGGCTTTTTTTAGTTGGGAGGTTTTTATTACTGTTTTGATTTTCTTATATGTTATGGTTCTGTTTAAACTTCTTGGTTTATCTTTGGTGGGTCCCATGATTTTAAATACCCATCCATTTCTTTTAGGTTTTCAAATTTAGTAGAGTATAGGTTTTTAAAGTATTCCCTTATAATGTTCTGGATCTTTTAGATGTCTGTTGTGATGTTTCCCCTTTCATATCTGCCTCTGTTGATTTGGATTTGCTCTTTCTTTCTTTTGGTTAACTGGGCTAAGGGTCTGTCTGTCTTGTTTAGCTTTGCAAAGAACCAGCTCTTAGATTCATTGATTCTTGTATTGTTTTCTTTGTTTCTATTTCATTAATTTCTGCTATGATTTTTGTTATTTCTTCTCTTCTTCTGGGTTTGGGTTTAATTTGTTCTCACCTTTCCAGAGTCTTGAGCTGATATGTTATGTCATTTATTTGTGCTTTCTGTTTTTTTAATGTAGGCACTTAGAGCTACAAACCTCTCTTAGGACTGCTTTTAGTGTCCCAGAGGTTTTGTTGTGTTGTATTGTCCTTTTCATTGAATTCCAGGAATTCTTTTATTTCCTTCTTAATTTCTCCTTTGACCCACTCATCATTTAGGAATCTGTTGTTTAATCCCCATGAGTTCATATAGTTTCTAGGGTTTCTTCCAGTGTTGATTTTAAGCTTTATTGCATTGTGGTCATAGAATGCATGGAATTATTTCAATTTGTTATTTGTTGAGGTTTGTTTTGTGCCCCAGCATGTAGTCGATTTGGGGGAAATTTCCATGGGGTGCTGAATAGAAGTGCATTCTTTGGTGCTTGGGTGGAATATTCAGAAGATGTCTGTTAGGTCAATTTGATGTATGGTATCATTTAATTCAGACATCTCTCTGTTCATTCTTTGTCCAGTTGACCTGTCTAATAGAGACAGTGGGGTATTGAAGTCACCTACTATTACTGAGTTGGGGTTAATCTGTGTCTTAAAGTCCTATAGTACTGTTTTTATGAATTTGGGTGCACTAGAGTTTGGTGTGTTCAGGACTGTAATATCTTCTTGGTTAATTGTTCCTTTGGTCAGAATGAAGTAACCCTCTTTAGCTCTTCTGACTAGTTTTAGTTTTAAGTCTATTTTGTCGGATATTAGAATTGCAATCCCTGCCTGTTTCTCAGTGCCATTTGCTTGAAATATTCTTTTCTAACCTTTCACTTTAAGGTAGTCTTTGTCCTTGAAGGTCAGATGGGTCTCTAGAAGACAACAAAAAGATGGATTTTTTTTTCTTAATCCATTCAACTAGCCTGTGTCTTTTGACTGATTGTTCAGTCCACTGATATTTAAAGTTATTATTGAAAGATGGGTATTGGTTGCCATCATTTTGGTTACTGTTTGCATTCTTTGTCTAATTTTGTGTTTCTACAATTATACCTTCATTTAGTTTCTTTCTGTTGCCCTTGGGGTGTAGTTTTTCCTTTCTCCAATCTGTGTATTGCTTTAAGTATTCTTTGAAGGGCTGGTTTTGTGGACATGTATTCTTTCAGGCTATTCGTGTCATGGAAGATTTTTCTTTCCCTTTAGCTATAATAGACATTTTTACTGGGTAAAGTATTCTGGGATGGCATCTATGGTAATTTGGAACTGGAAATACCTTGGTCCAGGCTCTTCGGGCTTTTATAGTTTGTACTGATAAGTCAGCTGTAATCCTGATGGGTTTTCCTTTATATGAAAGTTGTTGTTTTTCTTTTGCAGCTTTCAGTGTTCTCTCTTTGTTCTGTAGGTTTAGTGTTTTTACTATGATGTGAGGTGGGGAGTTTCTTTTCTGGTCCTGTCTGTTTGGTGTTCTATGTTCTTCTTGTATTTGTATGGGGATGTCTTTCCTTATTTTGGGGAAATTCTCTTCTACAATCCTGTTTAAGATCTGGTCAATACCATTATCCTGAAATTCTTCTCCTTTCTCTATGCCTATGATACATTGATTTGATCTTTTCATGGTATCCCACATCTCCTGCATATTCCATTTCTGTGATTTTTTCAAAAAAATGTACACAATCTTTGCTTGAGTGATCTAATTCTTTAACTTTATCCTCCAATGTTGATACTCTGTTTTCCACTTCATTCATTGTAGCATTGAAGCAGTCTCCTGTTGTTCAAGTTGGCTCATTGAGTGTTTCATTTCCTTCTTCATTTCAGTCTGAGTTTTCTTCAATGTTTCTATCTCTTTTGTGAATTCAGTCAGGAGTTCATCCCTATCTTCTTTTAGCTCTTTGATTTGTTTATTCATGTGTTCTTTAAATTCATTGAATTCCTTGGTCATGTTTATGACTGTTCTTTTAAATTCTGTGTCCCGGGTTATCTATAGGAGGTTCTCCTTGCCGAACTCTTCTACAGGACCGGTGGAGTTTGGTGGAAACACGCTGCTTTGGTTTTCCATTTTATTGTTTTTCCTTGTGCTTTTGGCATGCAGATTTCTTTTGTTGTTTGTGATTCTGGTATGAAAGTCAAAACTTCTTTTGCTGAGTTGAAGTTTGCTTTTGTTTGCATTATTGGTGTGCCTTATCTGTTTTTTTTTTATTGGGTATATAGAGCTGGTTGGTCTAGGATTCAGGCTCTCTAGGGTTTCATTTTGGAGGGAACTGATGGCTTCAGATCAGCTATTCAGGAGCTCCAACAGAGGCCCAAGTCAGCCTCCAGTCAAGTAGACTCAGGCTTCCTTCTAACGTTTGTTCCCTACTTGTGGTACTCGGAGCACAATTTTGGAAGTTCCCTAATGGGAAGCCGGATCCAGGCACTGTCAGGCGGTCTACTGAGGCCTCAGACCCTACACCTAGTGTGGGCCAGAGCAGGCACTCTCAGGCTGTCTCAGGAAGAACTACTTAATACTCTGAATTACCATTAAAACATAAGCTGTCAACTAAAAACATGAAAATAAAAACAGACTTTCAAATTATAAAAAAAGATAAACACTGTATTTTTATGCTAGTCCTAAAATCGGTTCTGTATGCTCCTCAAATTCAAGAGCTGAATTGTAAATAATTCAATGAAACCAGTGCTAAAAAAACCTTTTATGATAACTGATGAATCACACTGTTTTTTCTGAAAGATAAATTAGAATAAGAAAATATTATATTTGAGTCTAACATGTTATTTTCTTGTTATCTGCTAGTAACAATACAGTTTTAACATATGGCATCCTTTTAACAATTAGTAAAAACTGGACATATTTACCTGATAATCTAAAATGCTGAAGCCCAGGCCTCTGCTCCCTTTGCCCAGTTCTATGCACTGAACGCCAGCCTCCCACATGGCCAATGGAGCTTGAACCTCCTCTGCATTCTGACCCACCTCAGGCATCATCGCCAGCATGGGATCCTCCGTCTCTGAGGAACCGATGAACTCACCCAGATCTATATGAGGCTGGATAACAGGTCAGAGATCTTTTATCAGAGGGAGTAGTATGACACACACACCAACGTTGTAAGGAAAAGGAAGAGCTCCCGTTCCTACGTAGAACAAGACAGTCTCAAATAAACCACAGCTAAGTTTGCTTTATGTGCAAATGGGGCTGGAAAATGCTGTGATTTACATGTGATTAATTCACTAACAAACTAATCAAAACAGTGCCAAGACATCAGATTTGAAATCAGGTTACTGGGTCTCAAAGTTTGATTTATCAGTGTTACCTTAAGCAATATTCATAACATGGGCCTCACAGCTGCTCATTTCATAGAAATCTCTGAGGATTAAATGAGGTAATGTGGACAAGCTCTGGATGAATGACTGGTTCCTAACCTCGGAACCAAAAGTTAATCTTATGTTGAAATCATTTAACACTATCTCAGCTTATTCATAATGTAAAGAACCTTGCTAGGTCTTGGCTCCTTTTGTGACCTAACATATAACCTTAATCCCTCATGAACCTTCCTTGCCATGACCCAGAACAATGTATGAATGTATATGTGTGTGCACTGTAATGCATGCATGTGTGCGTGCATGCGTGCATGTGTGTGTGGTACGTTTTACATATCAAGCACTGCAGAAAGTGGATATTCATTGGAAGTAAGGAGATAATTATCCCATTTATGCTGCGAACAATAGATGGAATTAAATTGATAGCATCTGTTTGTGCATGTATGTATGTTCTAGGTCAGTGGGGGGTCAGGCAGGGAAAACCTTTCTGATAAGTATCCATTTTTTTTTCCCTTTACCATTTCATGCTGGTGTACAGTTTCAATAAAAGAGGCAGGAAGGCCTTTGTTGAAGAGCACAGTTCCAGGAGAACCCTGAAGGAACAAGCTCTCAGAGCATTTTAGACCCTCTCTCAGCTACAGTGGATGTGAAGTGTCAGGTTGTCATTACCCAAGGATCTCCATAGCACACCACTCCAAGGTTTATATATGAAATAACTGACAGAGAAACTGGCATTCAGATGTTAGTTTCTTTCAATAAAAGCAAGTAAAGTGAACATAATTAATCCAAATTCATTCATCTGTATGAACATATCAAATTTAAGGAAGATATGTTTATCAGGATAAAAATCCAGTTCTTGTGCTGTCTTTGCTTTTAATTTTATAATGCACTGCCTAGGACTATGGATGCAAATCTCTTCCACCCGCTTTACTGCAATCACTCTCCTTATACCACATGAATATGTGCATGCATATACATGGTGTAGCCTTTGAGTGGCACAGTTTAGAATGATGTTTCTTGTTTTACCCATTTATAATCACCCATGGGAATACTAAATACTAAACTATATATCTTATTTTTTTCTGATCCAATATTATTCCATTGTACTAATTCCTTCATCATAATGTAAATGAAGTCCCTACATTTGAGTAGCTCCTAACTCTAGGTACTGTGAATCCTCCAAAATTCCTATTAGCTCAGGTGTTTGAAATTTTGATCTAAATGGAAGAGCATAACCAAGCATTTTGAAATTGGACAGCACAGAAAATTATTTGACTCTAATAAAATTAAATGAAAAGAACTCATGATAAATAACTTAAGTTCAAGAGAAATGGGTATGAGTAAGAGTTTGTATTAAGGACTATAAAATGCTGTGACCTGCATTCTCATACTAGAATACACAAATAGATTACTGTACACACTGAAATGATATGTCCATCCAGATTTTAGCTATGCACCAAATAGGGACTATATACTTGTCACAGATGGGTGGGTATATAAAAGTATCTTTTGCTATATGCTTACAAATTATATATAATTTACATCCTTCAGTTTTTGCCAATTAAGATGATATAACTATTTAGTAGAAATATTGCAAGTAAATTGCACAACTATACAATGTACAATAATACCTAATATTACTACTCTACCCCACAGAGCAACTCTCTGTGACATAGGCATCATGGTAACCTATAGTTTACAAAAACAAAAACTGAGTTCCAGAAACCTAAGGTGACTTGACCAAAGTCACAGTTTGGAGTAAGCAACAAATTTGATTCAAATCCAGGCGTATTTGATTTCTAGTTCTGTTCTATAAGCCATAGGCTATGTGAGAATGTCAAATATCAAAAGAAAGAAAAAAATGTAATATTTTACCACTATTCATCGTATATTCAGATTAGTCTTCTATATGCAAATCTAATACCTTTTCTGTTAGCTCAATATCACTGAAGTCCAGACTATCAAATTCTGATGGGGTGGCAGGTGGCACAGTTCGACGACAGCACACCATTGTCACATCTATAGGCAATTCTTTTAAAATATTGACCACATCTTGATGACTTTCCCCAAGCAAATTTATGCCATTCACCTGTAGAAAAACATACACAGTCTACAGAAACATTTCACAATACATATGCTTTTCTAAAACCACAAATTTTACTGCGGTGATGCTCATGGCTCTGTTGTGCCCAGAGCTGCAGTTAGACCCGTGTGAGCGAAATCTAAAGTCATCTGACCCAAGTTCAGAGCTTGGTGGTAACTTCAGCTTCTCAAACACTCAAAGGAAAAGCCTGGGCTTCCCTCTAGGTCTAACTGGCCAGTGTAAGAGTACAGGAAGAGAGTGGCAATGAAGATATTCATGAAGGACGGAGGACAAAAGGCTGTAAAGAATTATCATTTAATATAATTTACTAATAAAACACTGGGAATGGCATATTAGTGTGCTAGAATGACTTTAAAACAGGGAACAAAGAAAATGTCTATCTTTTTTCTTATTTCTGCATTTAAAACATTGATGGAGTGCAGAGAAGCAAGTCTGTAGTTACCTGACAAGATGATAAGAAACGAGTGAGGGAGGAAAAGGAAGAAATGCCTCTCTGTCTCCGTTCTCTCTATGAAAACATGCAAAGGTACTGTCTAGCCTAAAAACTGAATGCATGTTTAAATCTTTCTCAAAGAAAGTTTTCATATTCTTAAAACAGCACAGAACAGCAGAACAGAACAAACAACTGCAAAGTGTAGAGTTAGGTCTGAAGTTCGGTGCCCACAGGCTGAGCATTTCTGCTTTGGGGGTGATCTTCTTGGCTGTTGGTCACACTAAGTCACCAGAGGCCTTTCGATCAGATTCAGGTGCAGGAAGAGAAACAGTTCCTTACCTCTAACAGCTCATCTCCACTGAAGAGCTTCCCACAGTGCCCCACAGGACCCTCTGGCAGAACAGAGCGGATGAAGTGATGTCCACCTGCAGCTTCCAGGCTTATCCCCAGTCCGCTGCTCTCACTAAACTTGCTCACCTGGGCCACCTAGGAGGAGAAAAGCCACCACGCTCTAACATGCTTCCTCTTTTCTGCTTATTCAGGCATTTTAAGTTCACCCCCAAAATAGTCAACTTTCTAGCAAAAAGCTTTAAAAAAAATTTCTGTAAGCTGCTAGGTTAAGGAGTACTGTCAGGCAAAACTACTGATGTGTAGTGGTTCCAGGAACCAACAAAGGCAAAAGGAAGCACCCAGGACCATCTCAACATTCACAGGGGATTAGTTAGAGTAAATGGGAGGCTGGCAAAACCCACTAAAGACCTAAGCACAACTGACAGCACAGAAAACACGCACACTTAGACGTGCAGCTATGAGCCCAGTACTGTGCTGATCCTCTTTCATACATTATCTCATCTGCTTGTCATTAGCAGGTACATAGTCTATGTTTCCCTCATTAGGGAAATGAGGTTCAGAGAGATTACCTTAAGCAGAGTCACACAGGTAGAAAGGGCTTTGAACTTCAGCAGTCTGAAACCAGACCCACCCTCCTGACCTGAGGCAGTACTGACAGACAATAAAAGTCTTTAATCTCAGGAGCTAGAGAAGTGGCTCAGAGGCTAGGAGCACTGGCTGTTCTCAGAGGACCTAGGTAAGGCTCCCAACACAACAGGCAGCTAACAACTGTCCATAACTCCAGTTCCAGGAGAAAAGATGTTCTCTTCTGGCCTCTGCAGGCATTGCACACACATTGTGCAGTTACATACAGGCAGGTAAAATTCTCAAACAGATAAGATAAAAATAAATCAGAAAAAAAATTTTAATCCCAAGTGGTCAGTCTAAACACATGCATACCTATATATGTAACAATAATAATTACAGAAGTCATAAAATTGAAGAGAACTGATTTCCTCGAGTGGTCCCTCTGACCTCCACATGTATGTTATGGGACACATATACTACCTGTCGCCAGCCAAATAAATATATTTACCAAAAAAAGTTATTTCAAATCCTAATGACATGTGATGCAAGGTCAGTATCAGAAGCAAAATCACTGATTTTGAAGTGTAATGCTGGGTGCGTTCTCTCCCCTGAAAACCCAATCTGGAGCTCACTTCCCCTGAGAGGCCTCCTAGACCCCATTGATAAAGTCACACCACTCCCTGCATGATTTCATTAACACTGCACAACTACAACGGAGGCATGTGAAACTGGAGCTACGTCTCCTTTACCTTTGATCAAGGATCACAAAGAAGTTGGCTCTGTCTCCTGTCATATTTCTGATCTTAATAGATTATTGGGAGTGATACCCTAATAGCAGACACACAAAAGGCATTTAGTTCAGTCTTAGTCCAAAAGCCTACCAAAAAATTATACATACAGTATCTCTACATGTGCCCATGTGTATAACTGAAGGCTATATAACAAAAAAAACAGTGCAAGACAGGAGAAACCTCCTCTGAGTTGTTGGGCAGGGTAGTCCAAGAAACTCCCCAAATTACAGGCTATTGACACAGCCCTTGATTGCCTCCCACAGCCAAATACACATGGCTGGAGAGGTCATAGATCCTAGAGAAAACACTAAGGCTGTCATATCCCTAGACAAATGTAATTTCTTACTACATGCTACATATGGATCCTTATATTTACAGACAAGTATACCAGTCACCACTCATCAAAGAAGTTTCTTTTGCAACATAAGGAGATTATTACAAAGTCCAACAACTGGTCATGCACAGAGAATAAGTGTCTGTGAGATGCCCACCCTAAGTGACACATCTACAATGGAACCTCTACACCTAAGGCTCATGGAACATAGTGGAACAAGGATAAAGAGAATATTAATGTGTCTCTCAACTCTCATCAACAAAACTCCCTCATGCAACAGAGGGCAATGAACACAAAAGGCCACAAATAGCCAAAGCACAGAAAATAAGTGTCTGCAGAGCATGGGACCTTGGGCAGGACTGCTATATTAAACTCCACTCACCCAGGGCTCAGGGACCATTTCAGAAGTGGGAGGAGAAAGATTCTAAGAGCCGGGGGGAGGTGCATGACCATATGGAAACAGAATCCTACAGGCTCCTGGAACCTCTTTCATATGAATCTACAGCAATGTTGTCAGCATGCACAAGACCCATGCATACTCAAGCAGACTAAAACCTAGCATAGAAAAGACCTATTGGCAGCTGATTACTGTTGGGTGAAGAAGAGCTGATCTTTCAGGGAGTGACTATAGATAGGCTGACCAGACACCAGTGGATGAACTTGCACCCAGGGTCCTCTAGATACGCAAATTTGACTCAATAGGCCTTAACATAAATGACAGAATGCATGAAATCCTGTCTGTGTGTGTGTGGGGGGGGTTATGGGCAGGTGCAGAGATCGGGGATAGGATATAAAGATGATTAACATGTTTTATATAAAATCTGCAAATATTCAATTAAAATACTTTAAAGAAAAAAAACGTTCAGCTTCAGTTCTGATCTAAGACAAAATGACTAGCTAAGGGTCCTCTTCATTATTCAATCACCACCAAAAGACCTGGTACCTCTTATGAATGACAGCTCTGTTAGTCCTGCCCACAAAAGGACATGCTTGTGAGCCACTGCTGAGCTGGAACATACTGTATTCTCCCTCAGTTTGATTTAAAGTGGCAAGAACTATACTATGCCTTCTTATTTGACAGTTAATCATCTTGAGATTCAAAAAATAGTCATGAAAATTAAATAAAAATTGAGGGGGCTGGAGAGATGGCTCAGCAGTTAAGAACACTGACTGTTCTTGCAGAAGACCTGGGTTTGAATCCCAGCACCCACATGGCAGCTAACAACTGTCCGTAACTCCAGGTCCAGAGGATCCGACAGTCTCTTCTGTCCTCCACGGGCATTGCAGGACACAGGTGCGCTTGCCTGCATGCAGGTAATACACGCATACACATAAAATAAAAATAATAATTAAAATATTTCTTTAAAAAACTGAGAATAATGCTTAGCAGTGAAGTGTTACCTGTTAATATTATACAATACCTGTTCACTTTTATCTCTTCTAGTTCAGAGGTATAGAAGTAACCAATATGGAAAATTCTATCCCATGTGGCATTTTATTTTTGTTTTTAAAATCCTTGAAATTCAGTAATTTGTGCCAACTTTGTTACACTTTTTAGAATAGCAAATCAGGCCGGCTTAGCTGGATATACAAACTCTTAATAAGCAAAATATCTCCATGGCATAACTGATGGGGAAAAAGTATGTATAGATGCTCTACTAAAGAAGATAAATACAGGGTTTATCAGCTTTTTAGCTAAGGTCAAGTGTAGTATCTGCTCTTATCAGTCTAATATCTGATGTGTCCTCTGTTTAAAATGGACTTTCAGAATGGGAGGTGAAATAGGACCTTGCTCTGTCTACTCATGAACAGACGTTATACTGTACCACCTGCAGGAATGATACACACACACACACACACACACACACACACACACACACACAAATACATAAGAATGATAAAGAAGGTAAGGGAGTCCAGCATGGTGCACACCTGAAATGCCAACATTTGGGAGGAGGTAGGGAGATCAGGAGTTAAAGGTTACCTTAGGCTTCATAGAGTTTGTAGCCAGCCTGGGCTACAGGAGACCTTGTCTCAAACATCTCAAACAATTTAAAAAAAAAAAGAAGGCAAGAGGAGGAAAGAGTCCATACAGTTCTCTCACAGGTCATGATGCGTTTTATCTTGTAAACTGCTCCTTCTAAATTGAAAGGTTTAAGAATAAGGAAATGTTTCTTGTGTCTGTATGACTTATATCACTACCAGGAATATTAAACTATGATGAAACATGACTTCTAACACTTGCAAACCCTTTACTTCAGTTCCATAGCTACTATTAACCATCTCTGATCTGTTTTTAATAAATGGATTAGCAGCCAGGCGTGGTGGCACACGCCTTTAGCCCCAGCACTCGGGAGGCAGAGGCAGGTGGATCTCTGTGAGTTCAAGGCCAGCCTGGTCTACACAGTAAGTTCCAGGACAGCTGGGGCTACAGGGAGACCCTGTCTCAAAAAGACCAAAATAAATAAATGAATAAATAAATAAATAAATAAATAAATAAATAAATAAATAAATGGATTAGCAATTTACATCCTCTGAAAAGCTCAGAGCAATTGATATTTCTCCAGGATTCTAATGATTATCTTTATTATCACCATGAATTTCTTGCTCAAAAAGAGTTAGGAAATTAGGGGGCTGGAGAGATGGCTCAGTGGTTAAGAGCACTGGCTGCTCTTGCAGAGGACCTGAGTTCGATTCCCAGGAGCCATATGGTAGTTAAGAACCATCCTGTCCATAACTCCAGTTCCAGGGGATCCAATGCTGTTGACAAATGTGCATCTACACACACATGCAAACAATACACTCATATACATAAAATAAAAATAATAAATAAAATGTTTTAAAAGTTGGGAAATTAGGATGAATAAGCCAACCTACCACTACTTCATAGTTAACTCCCATTGTCCTCTGCCACTTAGTCAACAGGGCAGCCTCTTGTTGCCGTATGTCTTCTGCATCCTCTAACTCAGTTAACAGCAATGGATACCCTGAAATAGCCAAAGCACTGAAGTTAGTGACAGCACACAGAACTCTCCATAGACAGACGTCCTACACAAGAAGACTGAACGGAAAGTATGACTGTCCCGAGAGACTCTTCACCCAATACATAGGATACAAATATTTTATTAGATTTCAATAAATTTTATTAAGTAATTTAATTTAGAGCAGTGATTGCATACACAGTACTATTCCTTTTCAAAGGATACCTTTTAAACGTTAGATTCTCTATTAAGATACCTATGTATCATCTAACTGTCCTTATTAAAGAATAAGAACACGGGGTGGCTCTCGGGCACACTGACTGATCTTCTGGTGACACTACCGTCACAAAAACTTTGTCAGGAGAAAAAAGTGCTATGCTATCATTTCACAAACACAAACAAAGGAAATTAATAAATAACATATAGAACTCCGTGATAATGAGGAAATATAGTAAGAGTATGCGATTGTGTATGAAGATAAAGCCTGTCATCAGAATCCCACTAGTTAGCCAAAGGGAACTCAAAAGGGAAACCAACCCAAGGGACAAGCAATGCTGAATGGAAAATGCTAAAACATGAAACTGATCTCTCTCTCTCTCTCTCTCTCTCTCTCTCTCTCTCGTTCCACTAAGCCACAGCCCTACAAATATTTCTAACATCATCACAGTACTTCTAAAGATTTTCTTAAAAAAAAAATTTCTATTTGGCCATAGTTTCTAAATTAATTTTAATGACCCATTCAGCATTCAAATTCCAATTTTAAAGATTATTCACAAAGTCAATTTCTCACTAGTTGCCTCCTCTCTCCCAGGAATACAGATTCATTATGCCCTACCTAATGATTTTGTTTTTGTCTTGAGAAACAAGACATAACTGAATTATTTTCAAAAACTGTAGGAGAGCAGGTAGTTTCAGCAATCAAGTGCAAGGTCCTGACTTCAATCGCTAGCTCTGGAAAATGAAACAAAGACTGGAAACTATGCCCACAAGTAACTGTCTTCTCATCAAAATTAAATCTAGTTATGTGAAGGATAACTAAGCAGCAAGCAGGGCTTACAAAGAACCTTTTAACCTGATTGGGGGGCAAAGGTCATTTTAGAGTCCCTTCATTCACCTTGGATCATTCCTTTGTGTTTTCCCAGTTCTACAGCAACGCAATGTGGAATCATGAATCAAAAATCTGGAGAACCTATGAGCTACTGAGGGAAACAGTCTGAGATTCATAGTCATCTAACCAACTTATGGTTGCACAAGGGGCCAGACCATACGTACCTCGCAGCTTCCCCAAGACTGCTTTCAGGCATTAAAAAATAAAAGCAGAAACGCATGAATCCTGTCCCCTGACATCAGAGAAATGAAGAGACTCATCTGCAGTGCACAGTGAGTCACCTTTCTGTGGCGGGCCACTGACATCCCACTGTCTCAGTATGACGGCCAGAGCAGGTGCATCAGAATCATTTACAAGTTTTTATTTCATTTTGTTTATAAAAAGATTCTGGGTCTCCTGACTGCAAGTCTGGAGCCCCCCCCTCCCCAGCTATCCTCCCACACACATATGCAAATTTCTCATTAGCTGCCTTCTCCAGAGCAAAATAGATGAGCCTACAAGATAGGCCCTCGTATCCATCTTCACTTACCATTTCAAGCTTCCTGTCCTAAATATTTTTATCCTTCCCTACCCTTGCTATTCACTGTAGCTTAACTAATTTCTTTACCAATCAGTGTAAAAATGGCAGAATGTAATTAATATGTATGAACACTACACATTTTCCCTCCAGGATATCATACACACAAATATGCCTTTAAATAATAAAAGTAAATTAAAACTTTCAACAGAAAAAGGAACGCAATAATGAAGCCATAGATAACATTAAAGAGGCATCTGTATGATTACTTGCCAGAGAACAAAATTCATACTACAGGATGGGACCAGTCTTCAACACGTTTAGTGGGTGTCAGTCAACAAAGGTCCCCAGCAACCGGACAGGTCAGGGAAGTAGGAGGCCCGTGAGATTGGAGGAGGCAACAAAGTCCAGACACAAATGATGTTAAAACAGTTTAAGGGACCCTAGTAAATTTGGTGCAAAAAAGAATTCTTAGAGAGGCTTAATAACTTCTCTTTAGAGTTCCTTTCCAAAATTAAAGCTTCTAACTTGTGCCTGGTCTGGCAGCACATGCCTTTAATCCCAGCAGAGGTAGCCAGATCTCTGTGAGATGGTGGTCAGCCTGGTCTACATAGTGAGTTCCAGGCCACAGGGGCTACAGGGAGGCCCTGTCTCAAAAACACAAACAAACAACAACAAAACCAAAACAAAACTTAGAACTCTAGGAATTTGAAAAGTCATTATCAGCCTCCCAAAACTAAATAATTTCAGGCAGAAGTAGGGTATGCATGTAATCCAACACTTGGAACCTGAGGCTGGCAGGTCCTTAATTCAAGGACAGTCTGGGCTACATAACAAGACTCTGCCTCAGAAAATCATAACAAAAATTAGATACTTTAATTCCTGAAATATTTTAAAGGGCCTCCTTATTTACTTTTAAATAGTTTATAATATTATTATTCTTTCACAGTTAGGTAGAGACCTATCAGCTATAAATAAGTGGAGGGACTCAATGAAAACTGCATACCTAAGTACCTCAAGAGTAGTTCTGGGGTGTGTGTGTGTGTGTGTGTGTGTGTGTGTCTGTCTGTCTGTGTGCCTATATGTGTGTCTGTGTGTTTGTGTATATGTGTGTCTATCCATGTGCCTGTGTACCTATGTGTGTGTGTGTGCATGTATATGTGTCTGTGTGTCTATCTGTGTGCATGTCTGTGTGCCTGTGTGCTTATATGCATGTGTATGTGCATGTATATGTGTCTGTGTGTGTCTGTGTGCCTATATGTGTATATGTGTGTGTCTGCAAATGTGAAAGAACACACTGATTCAGCAACGATAAGTGAATTATTTTAATCTACCACATCAATTAGTCATACCTGAATAGGGACTTACGAACATCAGTTTTCTTATGGGTTTTAGTAACATATCTATTAATAGTATATCAGTATATTAAAGACAGTGTATCAAAAAGGCTTAATTTCACTTGCAAAAATATTTGGCTAAAAACATATAGAACATCATATCCTAGCTCTAAGTGTTTACCTTCTTCTTCAATTGGTAATATGCTGGTATTTCTCCTCAAAGATAAAGAATCTTCATCTTTTTCATTATTTTCTTAAAGATAAAAATATTTTAATAGTTATATCTGTAATATAATCAAAGCACTTGAATTTTTCTAACCCAGTTCATTTATTTGAACTCCTGACTAGAGTCTATTTTGAGGAGACAAACCCCACAGTAACCACATGTATTCAGAAATCTTTCTGTGAGTAGACAAGGATATTCCTGAGACTTGCCTCCTTGTCGCCTGGTGGTGACAATGATTCTAAGCATGTGCACTACACCCAGCTTTTATGTGAGTGCTGGGGATTGAACCCAAGTCCTCATGCGTGTGCAGTCAGTGCTTTAGCAAGGGAGTCATCTCCCTGGCTCTGTGAATGACACTTCTAGAATTCAGATAGATTCTTCAAATAAAGACTGGGAATGAGCTGTCAGTGTGTCATATAAAAATTTGAGCAGGGGCTGGGGAGATGGCTCAGTGGGTAAAGCATGAAGACCTGAGTTCGAATCCCCAGAATCCATGGGAAACACGGCCCAGCAGCACAGGTGTATACTCCCAGGGTCCTATGGTGAGATGGGAGGTGGTTGAGAGGAGACTCACCAGAAGACTGACAGCTTGGGCATATGCAGTGAGAGCCTGCATCAAACAAGGAAGAAGGGAAGGACTGACATCAGAGTTGTACTCTGACCTCCACAGGTGCCATGGCACACATGCCCCACGTGCACACACACAGATATTTTAAAATATCAAGGAGAACCGCATCCCCCTAAAGAGACAACTTGTGATGACACCCAGAAGCAAGGCAGGGACAGAAAAGCAGAAGACGCTACGTCCAGCCGAGGAAAGGGCAACTGAATAAGGAAGAGCTAGAAGCCCACTCGAAAGCCACTGGGCACAATGCTGGATCCACTTAATCCTGACTTCATTGAATGTTCTCTTTTCACATGGTTTAGGTGATGGCCAGTCTTGGTTGTCCACTTGACATACCTGGAAAAAGGGACTGCCAACTATGGATTTCCTATATCAGACTGGCCTGTGGACACACTTGTGTGGGCATTTTCTTGGCTGTTAATTGATGTAGGGGGGCTCAGTTCACTGAGTGGCACCACCCCTCGGCAGGCGGGCCTTGGATACCCACCAGAGGCACTGAGAAAACTGGAGTAAGCCCCGCAGCACTCCTCTGTGGTCTCTGGTTCAGTTGCTACCTCTGGGTTTGTGCCGGGAGTCCCTGCTTTGGCTTCCCTTGATGGTGAACTACAAAGGGTAAGATGACATAAATCTTTCCCCCTCACTACATTATGGTCATGATGTTTTTTAAAAAATATTTTATTTATTATTTTCATTTTATGTGCATGCACGTATTGCCTGCATGTAGGTAAGTACACCCATATCATGCAATGCCTGTGAAGGACAGAAGAGGCTGTCAGAACCCCTGGAACTGGAGTTAGGACAGTTGTTAGCTGCCATGGGGGTGCTGGGATTCCAACCCAGGTCGTCTTCAAGAACAACCAGTGTTCTTAACCATGAGCCATCTCTCTAGTCTTTCCTGATGTTTATCACAACAGAAAGTAAACTAGAACAGGTCATAGTAGATGGTGCAGGGTAAAAATCATTTCCTATATAAAATATTTTAGAATTAGAATAAAAAAATTAAAACAATGCAAAGGTGTAACTGAAAACCAGGTCTCGCGGCATTACCTTTGCTGACAGAGGTAGTAAGAGGTGGCAAGTCCTCATCTTTTGTGGTATTGCCTCCTGCTGTGGCCTCTGCTTCCTGCTTTGTCCCTCTCCTCATCAGTGTCAGGCGCACGGTCTGTCCTGTATGTCTTAACACTTCTACTGCCTGTTGATTGGTGAAACCCTGAAGGTTGGTGCCATCTACCTGTGGTAACAAGACATGTTAAACCAAGTGCATGTTTGTATCGTTGACTCACAGAGTGCCTATTCATTGTTGATTATTGAGGAAAGAAGGACGAATGGGTATTTCTCTACCTGGGAGATGACCCGTGACACCCTAACACCCATTTAGGGATCAGGTTAACTTAGGTTTACTAAAAACCCTGCAAAGGGTTTGGGTTCTTTTAGTAGAGGTTCTAGGGTATAGTTTTAGAGTGCAGCCAGGTTCAGTGCCTTTCAGATATTCTATAATTCCTTGGGCGACTGTGATGCATAGTCAAATCTGGAAACTTGTACTAGGGGATAAAAGGTACAGACGGCAGAGAAGACATTCTTCAAGACACTTTTGTGCTCCCACAGCATCTCATACTGCCTTTAAGAAAGAAAGATGAAAAACTGCCTTTCTATTTCTTTCTCTAAAACATACATAAATTCTCCTTTCTTAGTCTGCTGCTTTGCTGTTCTATAACATAAATGATTTTCTTTTTCTCAATCATAAAGACAAAATATTCCTGTAATCTTTCCAAAGCACAGTTGTGACATCTTATATCATCCCAACCACTCTTTCCATAGGACCATCCTTAGTACAATGCTCCAAATCTTCACCCACAGTTTACAATGGCCTACTGGCTTGTCCACGCCCCATCGCTGCCAACCCTCATCCTGCAGAGTGCTGCCTGTTCCCCTCTGTCTGCCAGCCACAGGGCTCCTTTCCAGTCCTCTGGCCTGGGATGTCCCTTTGCCATGGGGCCATGGGAAGTCCACTCTAGCTCCATCCCATTCTCAATCAGCTCACCTAAACAGTATCTCAGCTCAGTAGCTTTTTCTGTGACTGAAGTGCGTCTAACTCCCTGGGTAATACTGGAGCCTGCAATTACTCATTCTCTTACATAGCACTTTTCAGAATTTCAAACTCACATTTTCTGTCATTATATATTTATGACTTTATGCTCCAGAAATGGGCAAAACATCCTTTTGTTTACATCAGTGTCCACCAAATCACAGTGATGTCCCCAAACAGAAGTATGGAGCCATTACATCATTTGCCAAAAGTGTATTTGGAAAGTGATTACAGCAAGATAAAAAATAGAGACTAAAGCAAGATAAATATAGACTATACCACTATATATTTAATTAATAAAATTGTAATGAAAACAGTTTAACAAAGAATATGAAATTTCATAGTGAAATTCAGTCACTGATACCGCTCTTTAAAAAAGAGCTATAAAAAGGCTTTGTCATGGACTTTTCTAAGCACAATACTAGTCACACTAGGCACTCAAATATTCACTAAACAATTATGAGATAAAGACCAGCATTCTCTTCTTGTAGCCTCACTACAGAAATTAGGTTGTATTAAAACTTCTAATTAAGCATTTTAAAAACTCATTTGCAGGGCTGGAGAGATGGCAAGGGATTTTAAGAGCACTGGCTGCTCTTGCAGAAGACGTGGGTTCAGATCCCAGCAACTGCAAGGCAGCTAACAAACATCTGTAACTCCAGTTCCAGGGGATCTGATGCCCTCTTCTGGCTTCCATGGGCACTGCATACACATGGTGCACTTACATAAATACAGGCAAACACTCATAGACATAAAATAAAAGTTAAGGAGCTGGAAAAGTAATTCAATGGTTAAGAGCACTGACTGCTCTTGCAGAGGACCCAGGTTCGATTCCCAGCACCCACATGGCAGCTAACAACCACCCATAACTCCAGTTACAGGGGATCCAACACCCTCTTCTGACTTCCACGGGCATTGCACCACAGAGGTGCACTTAGATACACACAGGCAATACACTCCTATACACAAAAAATAAAAATAGTAAATAAAATTAAAAGCTTTTTTAATTAAAAACTAATTTTTTTAAATTAGAAAAACAACTCATTTGCTTTATGTATATATGTGTACATGTATATATATACACAAATATACAGTGTCTATAATATATGTAATAACATATCTGATACTTAAATATATAGAAAGTAAGAAAGAAACAAGAAAAAATGGGTACAATTTAGTCAGTATGGCACCCTATATACTTTTAAATACTGCAAAAACAGTCAGAAGTGGAAGAGAGGACCAAACCATTCTCCCATGCTTCAAAAAGAAAAAAATATACAGAATAAAATGATCAATAAAATAAGATGTGAAATAGGCTGATGTGGGAAATCCAATATAATTATAAAAGGAAGTAACAGAAAAGAAAACAGGGCAGAAAATAATTTTCAAATGACGATGTCTTGTAAATTCGAGTGGAAACTTATCCACAGGTACATATTGGTGATAGAGGAAAAAACAGAAGAATCCAGGGAAAACAATCTAATACCAGGATATACACTGGTAAAGCCTTCTGTTTCCAAGATCAAAAGAAACAACTATCCACATATAGGCAGCAGAAAGAGCAGGCTAGCTACACAATTTAAAGGAAATGATGAGTCAAGAGTTACACTCTGTAATATGCGTAAAAGTGAAAATTGTCATCCAGGTGTTAAGACTATTGACATCCTATACCAAAGTAAGTTGTACAAGGAGCCACCATTTCAAGAGTACAAAGCTTCAGTTCATACACATTTAAGATTCTAGGAATCCCTAAAGACTGCTGTTGGGGAACCCTGCTGCTAGGATTGTAGTCCTCCATGTCCAGACAGCTCTAAGGGGCTCGCACTATATGGAAGGACTCCCCTTCTCAGCAGGGCCCTCCTGCTCTCTGTCTAACTTACCTGGAAAGTGACGCCAAGCACGGATGCCTGACCTTATTTGGAACATGACCTTTGGCATAGTTACCTGGAGTAAAAACTACCCCCAGGTTTTTTCTATATGATAATTAGGCATTGCCCGATAGTTGGATGATAGGAGCCTACTGCCACATGTAAATAAAACATACTATGAGCACCTATCAGCTGAAGCATTGGCTACTGCCTCCACACTATATTTTCCCTAACCCCCACTGAATAAACGGAGCTGTTTCACTGAGTCTGGAGCTGTTTGTATCACTGAACCTGCATCCCCGGAAGGGCTTTCTTCCATCAGTGCTCACTGGCCGTCCTGATCCTGTTCATTGCTTCTGCTCCCTTTGTCCTCGTGGACCAGTGGCCAATGACCCACGAGGAAAGGGAGAGACCCCACAGCTGGCGCCTGAATGTGAGGCTCCTGGAACGTGCAGAGTTTGTGAGCATCCCCTCTCCCCAAGAGGGTAGCAGCAGCTTTGCCTTGGCCGTCCCACCCTTGAGGATCGGCAGTCTTTCCTCTTTTTCCTCCTTTTATTTTCGGTCTGAGTCTTCTCGTGGGACCGTTAAAGACGAAGGAGAAATTGAGGCTTTCTGATCAGGGCTACCCCCTGATGTTAGCCAAAGGCTCTTAGCCCTCTTAACGGACCCCAACTGCCCACACGGGTGTAGACAACACCCCCTATCTATACATCCTTCTAATGCAGGCTTGCGCTGTGGACTCCATGGAATTCCCTGAGGTTTGATCCTGGGCAAGTTCCCTTAGGAATCAGTGTTTCACCTCCCCCCTTTCCTTTTCCATCTTGCACAACACCCCCAGAAACAAAATCCCCAAAGTTCTAAGGAATTTTTATACAAGCTTTGAAGTCAACTTCTAAAATAACAAACTTCCTTAATCTGTTTTGTTATCTCTCCCCCAGGGCCCTCAAGCTCAAACTAAACCAGTTAGATGAGAATTTAAATTAACTAGCCTCAGGAGAAACGGGCACTCCAGCTCCAAGTACTCCATAAACAAAAACAAAGGATTAAACCATGAGTGGCCACAGAGCACTTAAAGAATTTAAGGAGGCTTGCACCATACAATCGGAAAAAAGATTTTAAAAAGCCATTTTTTTTCTGTAAACTTTTTCCTGGGGAAGAGGCTCATCAGAGGACGACTCCACGTGGAGACTTTATCCTGTAGTCCTCTGTGCCCCTGCAGGCTTCCGCTTAGGGGACATGACTTCATGCCGCCCACACCTGGATGGTGGCTGGCTCACACTGAGGGCGCGCATGTGCAGCGCTGGTCATAGACTTTTCAACCCCCCTCCAGGGGCACATGCTGCGGGCCGTTGTGTCCATCTGCCAATGCAGGGCTCACGCCTTTTCTCCCCTCAAGCTACTACCAACATGTTTTTTCCAATAAAGACTGACAGCCCTCTTCAGAGAAATTCACCATGCAAGTTAACAGTCTTGCCTTAGTTTAAAAATAAGATATGGATAAACAATTTTAAAAACTTTAAAAAACTTTTAGGCTAAAGAAGAACAAATGCCTTTCTGTACTAATTATATTGGTAAATTGTCACGTGCTGTTTGAGCTCACTAAGAAGCTAACTCTGGAGATGGAATCGGCCCTCCCACTTCAGATGCAAGTCTAGGCTACAAACAGCCTAAAAGTAAATACACTATACTAAAAACAGCTAAGGTGTAAACTATTACAACAGAGGGTGTTCCTGTCTATAGTAAAATTAGTTAATGGGATTATTTGGTCACTAACACAGACTAATATAAAATGTATGCATGTATATGAATATATTTGTAAAGTACTGCTGGCTTTTAAGTTTCTTTCATATACATCTGATCAAAAAATTCATCAAGGTAATAGGTCTTGGTTTTAAAACTGGTTTGTGACATTGTGTCTAACCACAGTATTTATTAAATGCGACTGTTATAAGTGGATTTGTTTAATACTAATAAAACAATTATTAATTAATAATTTACTAGATATCAAACTTGTAAGTTCTCTTGTAAACTAAAATTGTTAAATTACAACATGGTTCATATTAAAAATATAAATTAACTTTTAAAAGCCAGTTGCTTCTGCTCCAGGGTGCAATTTATCTTTATGTTTAGATATGTTTTATATAAAATGAACATTTTCCAAGTCTGTATAAAACATCTCTAAACCTTTAAAGGAGCCAACCTTAACAGCAGGGTTCCCCAAAAATCTGCTTCAAGGCTTACAAGGACATCTCAAAGTTTATATAATATATTTAAGAT